TTGCTGATGAAAAACATGATCAGCTGTGATTGAGCAGCATGTAGATCCAACTATTTTCACGGTCGTTGTGGTCGTGATCATTTTGTGAGGCCACATCGAAAGTTGTGCCTCCGTCGCTTGTGTCCCGATCACAGGCTGCACCGCTGCTCCGTCTTTTTCACCGACGTTTACGTGTTTGCGCGTGCGCAGTGTGAGCGGCTGCGGTGACGCCCTCACGAGCGATTGATGATCGGGAGCTGTGAGGTGTTGATCGCGTCTCGTTACCCCGCGTATACGACACGACGCACGATGAAGGCCAAAATCGGCCGATCACCAAAACGGTCGCACGACTCAAAACGGGCCAAACGTCGCACAGTGTCTGCTCAGCTTAACACGTGTTTCCTGTGTGCAGACGACAAGAAGGAGCTGGGCGCCGCTCGCCGCAGCCGATACTACATGAAGTACGGAAACCCGAATTATGGCGGCATGAAAGGCATCCTCAGCAACTCCTGGTAAGGCTCAGAGGTCAAAGGTCATTTCTCAGAGGTCCATCCGGTGTAGATGCAGCTCTGCGTCACAGTCGTCAGTGTTTAATAAAGTTTTGTCTGCTTCCCGTTCAGGAAGAGGCGGTACCACAACCGACGGATTCAGCGAGACGTCATCAAGAGCAAGAAGCCTCTGATTGGAGACAGCATGGGCCACACGCCGCCGTACACACACCGACACTCGGGTGAGATCACGTCGCCCTCGCACAGAGAGGGCGGGGTCAGTTAGGCTTTGATCCCGAACCCAGACGAGCCCTCGGAGTATCGAAGGCGTTTTCTCCCGTCTGTCCGTAAATTTTCGTGGTCGGCCGTTAACAGTGACACGCGGCTCGTCTGTCTGTACCCTCGTCATCCACGCCACGATGACCTCACAGCACCTTGACTCCCAAAGGGAGAGAGGAGCCTCTGGGCGGTGGATAAATGTCAGAGCTGTAGACTAACTTTCTGCCACGGCGGCACAAACCTTTTAACCGCACCACAGTTTCACACGTGCACTTTTTGGGGCGAGGTTTGTGTCCACACAGACGATATCGATTTGTAAATGATTCACTAACAAGCTTGTGCTTAAAGTGCGTTGACGCTCTTTGGTGATATTGTAGACAATGTTAAACTTAATCATCACATCGGCTCCTCTGACGACCTGTTTGCTGCTGAAAGGGGGGGGGGGGGGCACGTGGGCATTCATCGCAGCATATAATGTGTTTCTGCTGCTTTTTCAGCGCTCGGAGGCTGATGTGTCAGAGCTGGCTGTGAACATCAGACGGATCAGGCCTTAACTTAACAAAAATGTTATCAGTCGTTCTTTTCGTCTTCTCTTGTTACCCACAGCTTCATCCACTCTGTCGGGCCTACGCTGCTCACCCGGGCTGGGTACCATCACTACTCGACTGGATTCAGTTTTGTCTCACAGTCAGAAATATTGTAATTCTGATCATTTATCAGCACTGATACTGTGAGACTTGAGCATCACAGCAGAGGATAAAACAGAAAAACATGAAGCAGATTTTTCTGGCCTGGGTTTTTATAGCAGAGAAACTTAAAATGTTCTGCAGTTTTGCATCATTTTGAAACGTTTACATTTCTTCAGTGTTGAACAGCAGAAATGAGGCTTTCTTGTCTGAGGAGCAGACTGATGGGTGAATGAATAATGCAGAAAACGGAGATCAGAGAGAGAGAGCTGTGCAGGAAGTGTGCTTTTGATCGTGCTGGAAGCAAAACAGCAAAAGTCCGAGTGAATTAATGACGATGTTTATCAAATCTGAAGCCTAGTTTGGATCTTCTTTTGCTGCTGGTTCAGTGAGTTTTGGTCGGAGAGAAACAAAACCTGCAGTTTAGAATCGGCGCAAAAAAGACGTAAACACAGAGCGGGCCCGACGCATCAGAATCGCTCAGCCCCGACGGCGTGTCCGTGTACGATGAGAAAGCCGACAGCTCTGTGTTTGTGTGGAGTTTGTGTATCTGCTCTTATTTACCGTTTGTTGAAATAGTTTTGTGAGCGTTTCTGACAAAATACATTTAAAAGTCGATTCAGGATTTAATGACTCGATATGTCTTTATTCAGCTCCTCGCCTCCCTCTGTCCACCTGCACTTTAGAACCACAGCCAATCACAGAGGTCCCGCCCCTGACGTTCACTGATTGGGACACACGATAGGGGCATGTGTTAGTTGTTGACCACACGGAGACTTTGAGAGTTGCTGAGACTTTTTTTTTTCTTTTTTACTGGAACAGCTGTTTTTCTTAGTCGCACCATTGAAACGATTGGTCTCTAGAGCCCTAAATGTGGTTTTCTTCTGCTTCATGCTAACGTTTTCATGACTTCTGTGCTTTCAGCGGATCTCGTCAACCTGCCCGAGGAGCCCATCAAGGAAGAAGAGGAGGAGGAGGAAGACGACGGCGACGAGGACATGGACTCTGACGACAGGGTGGTGGAGTACAGGGAGAGGGGGGACAGGGGCGGTGGCTCACGCTCACTGGGGGCGGGGCTCCACAGCCAGACGGACCGCTCTCCGTCTCCGTGGTCCGAGTCGGACGAGATGGACTACGACCTGGAGCTGAAGATGATCTCCACGCCGTCGCCGAAGAAGAGCAAGAAGATGACGATGTACGCCGACGAGCTGGAGACGCACCTGAAGAGCATCCGGTCAGAGTCGCTCACGTGTGTGTGTGTGTGTGTGTGTGTGTGTGTGTTTTGTTTTTCTATTCAGTTTTATTTTCACAACAACAGTCGCCTCAAGGCGCTCCTACAATAATACATACAGAGAAAAACCCAACAATCATATGACCCCCTATGAGCAGCACTTTGGTGACAGTGGGAAGGAAAAACTCCATTTTAACAGGAAGAAATGTCCGGCAGAACCAGGCTCAGGGAGGGGCGGGGCCATCTGCTGTGATTGGTTGGTTACAAAAGACATGCTGCAGACTGAGTGTGTGTGTCTGTGTGTGTGTGCACGCCTCTCAGTGAGGCTGAGCATTAAATTAAAATGGAAAGAGCCATCATGTTTGCTCACAGCTTTTATTTTGAAAATCAGGGGTGCCGCAGTGTTCCTGCTTCCTTCAAATACCAGAACCTTGTTTTTACGTCTGAGTGGGCGGCCTCACAGGAAGTGACATCATAGAAAAATCAGGCATTCTGCAGTTTTGGGTGATGATGGTGGGAAGTGGGCGGATCCCGAGTTAAACTTTATTTAACTTTGAAGCGAGTGAGAACGATTGGCTGGTCACCAACCAGCAACTGTAAAACAACCACTACCACATACTACTTCCTGTGTGGGCGGATCTTTAGTCTCCAGGCTGTTGCTGTGAGTACTGACAGTTACTGTGTCCCAAAACCTAAGCTGCATCCTCCGGAGGACCGAGAAGGCTGGAAGTAAACAGCTCTGAAACTGGACGGTGTCGCCTTCAGATCTGCGTCAGCGCTGTCTCGGTGGAGTTTAATAAACTCGTCCGTCTGCTCCTTGCTGTCTAAAATGTAACAGGACACTGGAGTAAACTCGACCATCTGTTTAATCAGTTTTCTGTTTGACGTTTATTCAGCTGTGTGAAAACCACCTGCGGGATTAATAAAGTTTTATTTTATCTAATAACTTTAATCTGAGCCAAACCGATTTACTCACGAACAAATAAAACAAAAAGCCAAACAATAACATTTTTAGGTTGTCTA